TAACCAATAGGCTTGTTTCTGGCTTCAAAAAGAGTGTTTGCTCAAAAAAGAGTGTTTTTGTGTTTTGGTTATATATATATATTATGATACTAGATGTACTTCCTCAAGGTCTCCGATAATATTTTTATTTCTTTCATTTGGAGTTCATATGTCAAGATGTGTTATAGCCTACAGAGTGCATAATTCTTCTCATGATTCATGTCATGCTCACACTTTACTGACATCACAACAGTACAAATTGCAACATTAAGCGTCCTTTATGTTGCATCATTTTAGCATTTACTGACTGACTGACAATACGCTACTATATAGTGGTGCAAGTGGTTAAAACAAGTGATCCCTTCAGGTGACCTTTGGCCCCTTTTGGAGGAAATCAGTTTCTAAAATTTTGTTTTTAATATTAGGCTAAAATCTTGTGGTATTAGCATAGGATGTAATGGACCTTGGTTGTAAACTAGGACTTCAGCTATTGATAGATTACATAAAGATGAAATGTTAAATGAATGGTTCTAATTCAAAAAGTATTTTAATATAAAATTGTTAAAAACTCTTATAAAGTGATGAATAGTTTTTTCTTATATAGCTAGTTTAATTCTATGATTGTTTTTTTACTGTTCATAAGTTATATGTACTTATTCTAATCAACATTGTTGTCTCATTTTACTTTTATCTCTTTTTTTGTATATATATATACGTGTGTATTAGGATGTGAATATCTGTCTTTATCTTTTCTACAGAATCCACTACTTAATGGAAGTGACTTGTCTACAGTTGTTGGAAGGGGTACGGGAGATGCAAGTTTTGATGAGAGTGGAGTAGCAAAGTACCAGAACAGAAGAACTGTAAGAAACTGATCATTAACAATTATTGTTATAACGTGATAATTATTGCAGTTATCAGTTTAAACCTCTTCTGCTTAATAATTTTTTCCTTGATCAATAGTTTCGTGATGTATGTATATAACCAAGGGTAACATTTTATTTGCAGTGGTAATATAAAACTTCATAATTATTTAAATTTTTGGATGTAATCTACATTTAAACAAAATCTTATTGAATAAAAGTAAAAATTAACAACATCTGAGAACAGTTGGATATAACTTAAAAGGGTCTAAATGTTTTAACAATTATAAATTGGATTTTGTACTTTTTGTTAGGTATGCATTTTGGTATATTTGGGAAGATTTGTTCAAATCAGAATAATGCACAAGATTCAGCTTAACTGTTTTACTTTTTTTTGTATTTATTACAAGAAACAATTAATATCCATTTTTATGTATTACTGTATTGTTTAAACTTTCAGAATTACAGTAAACAAATAGTGAATGAAGATTTGGACCAGATGTTAATAAGGATTATTTCTTCTTAGTGTACCATAGAGCACAACGTGCTTAGAATGTTTTTTACTAATGCTTTTAGGAATAATGAATTTTTTGCCATTGACTTTTGCTCTTTCATCCATCAGATGAGCAGTTCTGATCGAGCCCTTACAAATGCATTTAGAGAAATAAACAACATGGCTGACCGAATTAATCTCACAAAAACAATAGTGGCAAGTATTTTTTGTGTTTATTATTTGGCTTATCTGTGAAAAAATATACATTTTAAACTATTTAATGCTCATGAAATTATCTTTTTAAGTAAGCATTACAGTATTATGTAGAATTGTCTAGCAAATCCAGTTACCTTTCATTCTATTTTGCTAAGCATACAAAAAATAGATTAAGAACAATTAAGAATAGAAATTCTTAATTGTTGTTTTGCTATTTTTGTTGAATAAGTACCACAAAACTTCCTTCTCTTTAAGCTACTTTACAAGTAAAGGGAGGAAATTTATTTAAAAAAAGTAATGTAATAATAACCTGGCAAACAAAAGACATGAATTTGACCTTAAAAAAAAAAATTGAACTAACTTTCCTACATTGGCAAGAACATCTTTCTCAAAAGTGTGTATATTAAAAAATAAAACCATCATCGAAGGAAAGATGTGAATTTTAAAGCAAGATATTTTGTTGTTTAAAACAAAAACTCAAGAAATAATGTTTCATTTGTAGATTAGTAATAAAAAATCAACAAGAATTTAAAAAGGTTTCTATGTATTTAGACTTACAAACAACAGATGTATTATTTGGCACAAGATTGTAGGGGAGGGGGTCTTAATTAAACAATTACAAATTCATAGACTCTTTAGAAAATACAGAATGTGAAAATGAAAAGACTAGAAGAACTCAGCTTTTTTTGAGCTGTTTTATTGTGCTAATGATCAGGGTACACATTTTTATCATTGACCAGATTAGGTTTGGGGGTTATAGTGGTGATATTGTCCTTCCATCCATCTGCACAGTAACTATTGGTCAAAACAGCAGATTGCAATCAAACCTAACAGGTTCTCTTGAGGATGGAGAAAATTCCAATTTCACCATTTCAAAAAAGAAATTTGATTTATGAGCAAGCTTAAATGTATCCACAAAATACACATTATATTTATCAACAAACACACAAAAAAAAACAAATGTATGGATAGAATCAGCCATTCTAGTGATGGTTATTTTTTGTTTCCTTTAAGAGTTTATTAACCCCTGTTATGACCATTGTGTAGTTCAGGTGCCAATTTGCACGTTTGCTTATGAAATTTCATACTTTTTCATACTTACAATATTTTAGGATTATATAATATTTAGTGTGTTTCACAAAAGAAAATTTTTAAAAATCTTTCAAGTTTCACTTCTGCAACGTTTCAAGGAATCTCACCTGTAAACAATACATTTATTGGTTTTTTTTTTAGTATTTTATACTCATCTGAAAGTGCAAGTATGTATGTGCTAAGATGCTATCATCCTTTAGAAACATAATGAACTATGGTTTCTTTTTAAATTCATTTTCTTTCTTTGCTTGTAGGGATATTAACCACTTCTAATGTAGCTCAGCTGTGAACATAGAAGGTTTATATGATTGGGTAGTAGAGGTTGTAATCCATCTACTACAGAATATACCAGGGGTGAAATTCTGCTGATACTCACTGGTACTGAGTATCAGTACTTATTTTTTAAACTGGTTCTACTATCTGGACTTATTTGAGCTGCTTTGTCATTTTTTATGTTTATGCATAAATGTCTGTTTTTTTTTTTCAAAAACAGTTCTACTTCACCCAGCTGAGTACCTCTACTTTTCAGAATTTCACCCCTGGAATACATTAAACAAAGTGATTTGAGCTTAATAACCAGCTATAATTCTGGAATGGTGAAGTAATGATATGAACTCAAAGTTTTTATTATTTAAGAATTTTTTTCTTTTCGTGTTATTTCTTTTCTGAATAATATTTTCATGCCACAACTACTGACATAGTTAATAGTGACCTATTTTTAAGGGTTGAGTTCATGGTTTGCCAGTAAACCTTTGTAAGGATATGGTGTTGGTATGATTTATTAGTGGGAAGTTGATTGCTTCTACCATAAAATAAAATAAAAGATGAAAAATACTTATATGAATTGATTAGATACTAATAATAATTTCTGATTAAAGCAAGCTATCTACACAGATCAGAACTAGTAGTATACTGAATACTGAACATAGCCAATTAAATATGCAATTAAAACTAACTTCGTTATTATGAATAGTGACTATCATGCATTCTTTTATCACTTTGATGCCCATGCTGTAAACAATATTTTTAGAGATAAACTATATAATATCTTGCAAGGATCAGCCAATCAAGTACGGTGTCCAGGTAGTGAAAGTGGGTTTTTCTCGGGGCACTCCTGTTTTCCTCCCACATCAAAATTATGGGGATTAGGATTTTAAGATCCGCACCCCAACATTGATGTTTTTTTTAAAAATGTAAACGTGGTGGCCTCCCAAACCAGCCAAGAAGACACATTCAACTAAAGCACCATTACCATGATCAGTTCCACCTATGTCTCATAGCTAGATTTAAAATTTACCTTGATTTCTTTATTTAATTTAATTTTATTTCATTTATTTATTTTATTTATTTTATTTTTCATTCAATTTAAATTTTTTCCTCCTTTTACTTATAATTATATTATTATTATTATTTTTTTTTTCTT